GACAGAGTCTCACGTCCGCGTCTCCGCTCCATAAAGGAACGACGTTTTTGTTTCATTTTTGTCTGCCGCACTTACTTCTGATACTGGGCTAGCCGCAGACTGAAGGCGCCAATGACGATGACGGTAACAATGATGACGTTAATGACGGCGGCTGACAGCGGCGGCGGTGCAGCTCCGGAAGTAGAAGCCGGCAACGAGCTACGGCGCACGTACACGTCTCTCTCGCAGACTCATTCGATATAAGCCGACACTGAAGACTGAACACTTTTAGTTTAGGGTTTAGGCTGACAGACAACGCGCGATCGTATCGGCGACACGAAGAAAGCACAATGGCCGACCGCGCGGTCTCGCGGCCACGATCCGCCGCACGGACCCACGAGGTGCGCTTCTTCTTCCCCCCTGCCCTGGGCAGAAAGAGATAGAGTGAGAAACGCGGCTGTCTTTCTTCTTTCCTTAATTTCTTCCTTCCGATCGAAAACGCGCGCTCCACGCGACGACGCGGACGTCGTCGTGGCAAGAGAGATACCGGATAAAATGTAAAAACTTCCGTCACCGTGTGTGTCCGATTGTGTAAAACCCCGTTCAGTTGATCTCGCGGCGTCAAGTCGCTACAAACCGCAGCACGCGATGGACAAAAACCGACTGACTGGCGTGCCACTGCCTCGAGGCCGCGAGGCGTGAGACACCCGCGACGGATGAGAGGTTATAAGTGGTGGGGAAGCGGGAGCCGGCGCGCTATGCCGCTATGCGCTCCTTTGCGTAGCGATGCGGAGAAGGACGCAGCGTATCTGCTCCCGCCGGACGCGCGCGAACGGGAGTGAGAAGTGAGACCGGAGACTGCGCGTAGCGTAGCGCATCGAGCGCACCGAGCGCACGTCGTGCGCCTGCGCTGTGCGCCGCGGACGGCCGCGATTGGGCGTGGTAGAGTCCCTAGACTCTATCGACCGCCGCCGATGCGGCCGCCATTGTTCGCCGCCGGCCGGCGCGCGAGTTTCAAACGTGTGCGGAAGGGAAGATTAAAAAGATATACATAATCCTGCGTCAAATACAATTACAGTAAATCTCACGGAATGTCAGACGCTGATTTTTTTTTACTGTCATTAATTTTAGCTTAAATCGAGTCTCTTAATTACAATTTCTTTTTTATTTTATACAAATATCTTACATAATTATTTTATCCAACAAAATTATTTTCAGATTTGTATCTTGTTAAATTTTTAAATACTTGAACGAAACCATCCTTTCTGTGTGATTTTATTATAGTTATTATAGTTTCTATTAAAGTAATAATTTCGAAAATAAAAATTATTCACAAATTATATTATTTAAAATTCATTCAAATGTGATATATGTATGATAAAGTTAATAATTTCAAAGTATATTGATTATCGTTATATTTATCGGAAAATTAAAACTGACGGATTGTTCTAATAGACGTAGCAGCAGACTGCAGAGATATGTAAGAAATGCGGAGTGGGAAATGTTTGCAGGACAAACAGAGCGCATGGAATATCTGGACGAAATCAAGATCTTTCTTGAAGTCTTTCAGTGAATTTCAGGCGACAGTGCGAGCAAACTTTTCTGGAAAATAGCCCACATATTCCGATACGCAAGCGATTACGAGTGATTCGGTATAATAAATATTGCACCAACGTCTAGACTCGTTTTTACGCTTAAGTGCTCAACAACGAATAAGAATGACATATAAAAATGATATACTTTCCCTCGAAGACCCTCGACAGACACTGAATATTGCGTATTACGTTTACAGTCTGTGTAAACGCAAAGGGAGATTCATGGAACGAAATAAATTACTCCAAGTTCCAAACTCACAATCAGTCGGGTGTAACTATTTTGAAATCCAATTTCTGAACAACTCTTCAACTGCACGCATTCGGTTTCAGTTAAAAATTTGCCTTCGCGTTGCTTTTTACGTAGATTATTCTCGTGGTAATATAACAATTAGAATTTAGAATTTCAAGCGGATATTAAAAAAAATTTGAATAATTGAATATTCTTTCTTCCCTTAAATTTTTTTCTTAAATTTAAATCTGAATAAGAGGAATTTCTGTAAATTAGCTGGCTGTGGTTACAAATTTCTCGAATCGTTTTCCAAATTCATTCTTTTCTCTCTTGATCGATCTTTATTAATCCTTATGGGTCAATTCTAAGCAGAATCGTAAGACTCGTAATGTGTCCTCGTAAAACTTGTAAGAATTTATGACTAGTATTCTAATTTTATGCGTATGTGTCGTAAGACGTACGATTATTCGTAAATATCTACGATTTCTTGTAAATTTTAGGCTAGTAAGAAACTGTCTGCAAAAATATTGTATAAAGGTATAAGCACTTAAAAAAAAATTCTTACAAGTCTTACAGGAATATATTACGAGTCTTACGATTCTGTTTAGAATTTAGGCATTAATCTTTTTTAATCTGTAATAATCGATATATACTTTCGCCGATTGTATAACTGAACGCGAAGAAAGCGCGATTATTAAATTAAGCGTACTCCTCGAGCGAGCAAATTGACGATCGACAAACCGTTCAACGACGCTATGTGCTTAATCGGGTGAAACGTGCACTTGCGATCAAACAGCGAACGCCAATCGCTGCATCCAGCACCTGCAACATCCCCGTGCTGCTACGCATACGATCGCGATTTATGATGTCCATTGCTACCGTGGGCGCGACATAAAAGTGATCCACTTTCGCTCTTCTCCATATTCAAGTCTTTGTAATAACAACCCAATACTCACTCTCTCGTTCACACACACACGCGCGCATCTTCAACAGCAGCCGAATAGGCTGCTAGTATCGATTGGACATTAATAATTCAACCAGGGAGCGCCAATAGTAAACTTTTACTTATTCAAAGGCGTGACACTTTTTCAATCGTCTTTGATTTAACGAACGATAAGTTGTAATTAAATTCTAGTGTTTACTAAGAAAGAAAGAAAAGAAAATTATATGTATGTAAAATTGATAGTATTTTAGATACAAATTGCCACTGTGGAAAATAAAAATATAATATCATAAAGTCAAATATTTGTTTTATTAAACTAGATATTTTATTTATCCTTTCTTTGCTCAATATCATATCTATAGTTTACACATATAACTTCAAATATTTTATACAAAAGATAAGAAACATTCGGTTGGAAAAAAGAATGTTGTAAAATATGCAATTTTGTTGTAATTAAAAATAAAAAATGCAGACTTTTTATGCAGACTTTTAATCCTATATCTTTCCTATCGCGAGTTAATTGTTTTTATTAAAAATCATGAATAGAAAATATAGATATAAACTTGAGTGGGTCTTCCAGTTTGTGACGAAAGCAATTATCTGCTCTACATGAGGGAGAGAGTGAAAAAGAAAGATTTTTTCTTCAGCCATGTGCCACAAGAAATCGTTTACGGGCCAGATAATCTCTCGCGACCCTTCATCCCTCGATGTTAGTTTCATGACCTAAGTATGTCAAGAATTTAGTCGTGGGCTGTTTTCACTCGAGCATAGCACACGATAATTGCTTCACCACACGTTCGTTCGCGCGATTACGTCACAGAATAAAGCGTGTCGAAAGCACGGTCCATTACATGAATTATATGAATTCTTTTTTATACCGACATCACACCGAATTAACGACTACGATGAAATTGCAATCAAGGAGGACGGAGACAAAAAATTGATACGTGCTTTCAATCGCGCTTGAATTACTGTCCACAAAGAATATTTTTTTATTTATATTTTTGAACTATAAGTAATTTAAAATATAATATAAAAGGCGATAAAACATATAAATTTATAAAAGATTAAATGAATAATAATTACAGTTAAATTAATCTTATTTTACACAAACAAAACGTGACGCTGTTTTTGTTTTTATTTATTTAATATAGAATTATTATTGATTTAAACGTTATTTAGAATTTATAAGAAATGTTAAAAATTATCCACAATATATTTAGTGCCATAAAAGCGACTTAATTAATAATGCAGTAACGTATTCTTCGATTTTTTTGCCGACCTTCTACTTAATATAAAACCTGCAATCCCCGATGATGGTTGCGCAATGATTAAGAATGATACATATTGAATGACAAGAACCGCGTCTCACCGCAGGCTTTCTAAACTTTTTTTTTTTAGATCGAGCCATCTACCTCCTACTTGGTAACGGATGATGACACCCGAACTCACGTCCATCAGAGCGAAGAATCGCAGGAGAAAACACGCAAGTGCACTTATTCACTTTCTTGGAACAGGTATATTATCGGAACGACTCTTCACTGATAATGAAAAAATATGAGATAAACGCGTCAACGCACAATAAAGATGTTCGGTTTTTCATCCGTAAAATTAAATACGTAATTTAGATAAGTCAATATTCAAAAATCCTTAATAATGAAAACTAAAGAAAATAAATAAATAATATATTAACTTTATTTGCGACAATTAATACGGAAACTAATGTTTATTGAATTTTGCGATATTTTTTATATTAGATAACATTAAAGAAGGTCAAAATTGTCAGATCTATCTTTCTGTATTTATTTTCTATCTATTAGACTTTAATGCTATCCAACATGGGGCGATGATAAATTGTGGTATATGAAATATTCTATCTTGAAAAGCTGTCGCGATATAGATACATATGTATACTTATAGACGTATCGGTTTTTGAGTACCGATACAATAACGAGATCAAACTTGATCTGCGATATTTCGTAAAGATTATCAGAGTGAGCGCTCGAATAGTTAGAGTTTATTATTTTATTTATCTTTTTTTTATGTCATCAGATATCTTCGTAAAAGTATGATATTCTCTCTATAAAGAGAGCTAAGTAATGAAAATCAAAATTGCTTTCTAAGCGTCGTTAATGTAATTTATTATTGGGGTCACAATTTGACCTCATCATGATTGCCCAAATTTAACTGTAATTGAGGGTTAAACTAGTTGATTTTCATCTACGTGCACGACGAAACAATATGCCGCGCGTTTCCGCAACGTTACGAGACCCGAAGCGTTATAAACGGTTGATTCGAATCGTGCGGATGTCAGTATTAATCATCACAGTGGATCACATAGTTCATTCGTAAAATCAGGAAGATTTATTGATACCAATCGGGCGTAAATTTTTCGGAAGTAAAACACAGCTTCAGCATGTGAACAAACGCAGAATAAACGATCAAATTCTACAAACAATAAGCAAGTAATTTTGATCCTTCCTTTTAAAATAAGATTTGATTTATAAAAAAAATAATTTTGCAATAATGTTCGAATTTAAATCGTTTCGTCAAATTCGATTTAAGTTGCATTTTTAATAATTACATTTTTCTTTTTATATACACATTGCTATTATTATTTAATTTTAAATCCTAAATTAAAATTATCTTTTTATTACCCATATAAAAACATATTCTCTTTGAAATTGTATTCTCTTTAAAATTGTATTTGACATATTCATCGTCATGTATTTTATAATTTATCGAAACTAAAAGTAAAGCTGCATTATAAATTTTGGAGCACATACCCTGCAAAATAAAAATGTAGAAAGAATTGCAAAACAAGTACCGTAAATCGAGAGAAGATACATCCCTTCCTCTTAAAGTCTTCCGTCAGGGACGAGTCATGGCTATTCTAATCGCTTCGACATGTGACTTAAACGGGTCATCAGGGCTAACGAATCGTTCAGGAAGAGATCGGCGATGCGGGAAAAGAAACAATCCGCCATCTGGACCGCCGATGATCTTATAAGCCGGCGTCAT